GAAGCAAAGAATCCACCCGCCATAGCCGACCCAGCGGACAGCCACCCACTGGTGTAGGTAGCGCCCAGGCCCCGTTACAACTCTTCCCGCGCAGCCCGAACACGCTGTGGGAAGGCGCGCACTACTGTTCGGTACATCACTCCTGCGGGGTCACAGTATACGGTGTACGACATTCTACCGCATATCACTTCTCTAGCATGAAGTATATATGCACTGTATGCTTGTATCGTCTCAGTAATACGGCGCAGCCCCTCGTCTGATTTAGTGTAAGGTACTGTACTCCGTACACTGACAGAACATCAGCTATCACTTTACACTACCGAGCTTAACCTTCACTATCTCACTGCCTAGATACCACAAGGTCACTTACCGTACTGTATCACGCTACCTAGCGTCATGATCTATTCCCCCATCTTACCCCAAACATACATCTCTTTCTAACAAGTCACATTGAGACTTGGGCACCCGCCGCTTCATCACCCATTCCTCCTCATCCAAGCTGGCTTGCTATCCTCCCTGGACCTAAACCAAATCGTTTCTTCCAACAGTAGGCAGCGACATCATTCGCTTTTCCCCGCCCATTTCCATTGCCTTCTCTGTATCTTCTTGATCCTTTTTCCTTTATACCCTCCCCGTCCAACCCGGTGCGTTCCGCGAACCCGCCTAGAACTCGACCATTAGACCATCCGAACAGTAGCGCAGTGTCTCGACTCGCCTTATCGCCGCCACATTCCACGCCCACGCTTCCGTAGAGCCGTCGATTGAGAGCGTGCGACCGCAACGTTTACGGCGCGACTAATAGCCGCTCTCGTCCTACATCGTCCCGGCTATCCCGCCAACCAACTCCCTCTCGTGTCTTCAATTACTTTATTTTTTTACTTCGACGTTCGATTACGATAACGATTACGCCTTGCTTCGCATCTTCGTATACCCTCGGCGGCTATTTGTTCCTTATCTGCAGCATCGGGGCACCTGCCCTTGACGACTCCGCGGCCGAATGACCTTGGCCCGAATGACTGTGGCGAAGCGGTGACGGAAACGTCCCAGCGTTTGGATCTTGTTCTTTCGTTCCACCATCAACACGCGAACTATCGCGAACACGCCCAACATGACGACTCCTCTAGACGGCATCGTCATTGGACTGCTATCGTCCTTTGGCTCTGCCGTCATCGTGGCCGTCATCTTCCTCGTCATCTACTTCTTCCGCCACACCGCATCGGGTCGCATCTTCCTTGACCGCATCGGCCGCCCGGGCGAATATGACGATGAGCAGGCGTTTGCGAGGGAAGAGGCCGAGGCCCTGGAAACGATGGATGATATGCAGAGGACAGAATATCTCAGAGCAAAAGGTAGGGTTGCCCTCCTCCCCGACTGAGAGATATGGGATTCTTCCCCTCAGCCCTATGCTCTGGTTTCGACTAACCCGCCCCTAGCATTTATACAAGGAAACCCACCTGAGTCGGTCCAGACGGACATTTCATTATCACAATATTTAGCTATTCAAGAAAAGGGCGTGTCAGCATGGGAGTTCGAGCCAGAATTAGAAATTGCCAACTGCTTTGTCGAGGCCAGGACTGAGATTGAATTCTTCGACTCAGAGTGTACGGTCATGAGCAATCTGCCCGTACCAAAGCAAAACGAAGTATATTACTGGGAGGCGAAGATATACGAAAAGCCTGAAGCTACGTTATTAAGTATCGGAATGTCTACGAAACCCTATCCACTGTTTCGGCTTCCAGGTACGTGCCCCTTGCATCCGTTCGACGTATCCACCACTGACACCGCCGCTAGGATACCACAAGCACTCTGTTGCCTACACATCTATAGGCGCGCGGAGATTCAACCAACCTTTTACACCAACGCCGTACGGACCCCCGATTGTTCAGGGCGACGTAATCGGCGTCGGATATCGCCCACGAACTGGTACTATTTTCTTCACTCGTAACGGTAGACGGTTAGATGATGTTGTCCATGGCCTGAAGTCGCAGAACTTCTTCCCTTCGGTCGGTGCGAATGGTCCATGTATCGTTCACGTCAATTTCGGACAGGCTGGCTTCGTCTTCATTGAAGCCAACGTAAAGAAATGGGGGCTCGCGCCGATGACTGGCAGTTTGGCGCCACCACCCCCTTATGGAAGCGAACAAGGTAGCATCCTACTCGAGTCCGGTCGTAGGAAGGACGAGACTCCAGGATCGCCATCACGAACGCATTCCTATTCACAATCGTACCAAGCATATAGCAGCCGAGGTCCGATACAAGACTCGAGCCACGCACGAACGCGCAGCGGCAGTTATCGAGTCCTCCCACCCACCAGCCCGGGGCCACAGAGAAGTCCTACGGATATTTCTCTGGCGCAATTGGTTCCCACGGACGAGCCGGGCGAGGGGAGCGCAGCTGGTCACGGCTTCGGGCCATCTGGAGATCATGTGATTAACATTACTGGTTTAGGTATGCACGAGGCTTCACATCCACCACCTGACTACACCAGTCCTGAGCATTCCGATGAGGATGGCTCCGGTAGCGGTTCCGAGAGCGATGTTGCGCCATTGATCAGGACCCCAGCGCGGAGTCGTGGTGCTTCTGCCGCCACTCTCCGTCCACACAACCCTCCCATTCCCAGTTATAGCGACGCTGTGCGCCAAGGCGCTGGTAGGGATAGAAGCCGAAGCGATACAAGTGCCATGCAAAGGCGGATGAGGGGTAATTGAGATCGATTGGTTTTTCCCCAACCGAAAATGGACCAGGAGTTTGTGGGCGCTGGGAGGCTTAACATTATCAGGGTTATAAGGGGTCAAAAGATGATCCCTCGACCAGAAATTCGAATCAATTGTCAGGTTTAGGGAATACTACCAGTCTGTTGTTAAGAATACCCGGCTAGCAAGACACATTGTAGCCATAAACATGAGAGACGGAGTTTTAGGTGTTTTTGAAGAAAAAACAGTTCTAACCAGTCACTGTTTTAGTCATAGCGGTAGCACTATTCTACTGCTTCCTGGGATTTTACGACATTAGCACATAGATACTATATTGCATCGGGAGCCCCGGGCTTTGTTTGGCTTGTTTGCTAGTTGGTGTTGGGGGCAAGTAGATGGTCAGCAGGCAACTTTCATATCATATTAGGCCTCGAATGTGAAGATACTCCCATCTGGTTTATATTACAGTTGATCTCTTGCCGATTCGTTGTGTGAGACGCGGCGCTGAAGAATTATTACCCTATAATTCCCTGTAGTCAAGGACTTGACTCGCATCAGTCGGGTTGGCCGGTTTCCCTGTATAATTCCGTCTGGGCTATGTTGAAAACCGAGAATCAAATGATGCTCGTCCTCAATGCCCGGGTAATGATGCTGTATTGTTCAAGACAACAACTTTCGCCCATCCAATCCTGCCTGCTCATGGGAATCTACGCACCTACCTACCTGCCTACCTGCCTGCCTGCCTGGGTTAACTTACTATCAGATTGTCTGATGATGCTCATGGTATATATGTCTGTTTGCCTGCCTGTTCACTCTTTGAGGGAGCATGAGCGCAATGCCAGAAATCTTCCATGTGTCAAATTAGAACCGACAATCGAAAGAAGAAAGGGAGAAACGAAAATGAGGGGCAGAAGAAATAAACAACATATAACACCAAGGAGTCGCTGCTCGTCGCCGATTCAACGAATTAATTTAGCGATTATAGGGCTTAGACAGAGGAGCAATTATACGTTTCGTTTGACATGTCTATGTCGGGATGCGATTTGCGTAGCTCTGCTCTGCTCTGCTTTGTTCCCAGGATGTATCGAAGCTTAAGCATCTACTACATACACTTTACGTCATGCGAAGAAAGGAAAGGACTTCGTATACGACCATCAGGTTTACCCATCGTGAAGAAGAAGAAGTATTATGTGTCTGCTACTCCGACTCGGAGTATATATATAGTATCAATCCGAGCGATGTATAATACATGTGTGCCTTCTTTGTTGACAGCGGTATAGATCCAAGGGAATATTTTGATCTAGTTCGCGCCGTAACTCTTGGGACGTCGTTGGGTAGATACTCGCGCCAATATTGAGCGAAGGTTTCAAGACATGCTTTTCCGAGGGTCTATATATAGGAGGGTTAGGAGAGAATTGAATTACTTTAGGCGTGGAAAGCGAAGCCGTTTTCGTTTTTGCTTCTAGCAAACATGAGCGTTGATGCTTTTATCATGGGTTTCTTTTTATATGTCTGAGGAACTGGGACAGAGATTTTTGGGGCTGAGATGAGGGGATAGAGGTAACGTAACCTAGTCTATAGATGAAATGATAGCAATAGGACTGAGGGAAGTCGGTCGCGTTATTATTTACATGTTTGAGTTCGTTGTGTGAGCTGAGATCTTGGAAGCGACTGAACATGCTTTCACGCTCCATCAGTCTACCCCGTTTCGCATCTGGCCCGCGTAGTTTATCCTGCTTGCATTGCCATCAGGGGGCGAGATGTGGTGAGGGCTAGCATGCGAGTAAGCAATAAATAACCTGGGGTCATCATTTTCTGCGCGTTTTGAAGCGAGTGCTGGGGGTTCACACAAAAGCCAGAAACTGTTTGAATATTCGGCGAAAGCTTCGCTCCCTAATTCGTCTTACCGTTGTCTACCCTTCTCAAAATCACTAGTTATCCCGCAACACTGTTACAATATGAATGATTGTTATACTATGTAGGCGGATTGAAGTAAGTTGCTCTCGAGTTCATTGGCAGGCTGAAGTGAAGCAGTATAATTATGAATTGCGTATGTGCTTGTAGTCTGGGGGATATTCAACCTACAATGCTCTCTTACAGCGCTCAAGTTTAATTTCACTTCTTTCATCCATGTTTATCAAAGTCGATGATCCAAATGCGGCATGTTTCTGGAAGCTCCGATTGCTAGATTTACAGTATTCATTAAACGGCACTGGTCCTCGACTGTCGATTTGGCGCAATGGTAGCGTACAGACCTCCTAAGTCTGGGGTTGCGGGTTCGAGTCCCGTGATCGATGCAAGATTGTCGGGCGAATGGTCTAGGGGTATGATATTTGCTTTGCATTAAATTTGTGATCATTCAGATGATTCAAATCTCTTGTGCTTGCAAAGGGTCCGGGGTTCAAATCCCCGTTCGTCCATTACTTTTGCAGTATATGGCGTTGGTCATGATGGTTCTCTTTTTAATAAGTCAGTCAAAAGACATTGAAAGAGTAATAGGCACAAACAGGATCACAGTATGGGGTAGGTAATTGGCGTTAAGCACAGTATTATCGTAGATAGATTTAAGCATGGTAATATCGCTGATAGAGGTCTTATTGGTTGCTGCTAAGGAAGGGTATCTCTTATGTCTTTGTAGAAAATCTCCCAACGTTGTCCACATTGTTCTGCCCTCTTTCTAACATCAAATATGCGAAAAATAAGTATTTAAAGTCTACTACAAAAAGAACAAGGGAAGTTTATTGCTAGGACTCTTTAATTGAAATTTGTCCAGGTTATAGTTTTTCTCCATTTATATTATTATATTGTAAACATAATAGTTTATTTTTATTAAATTATATAACTTAGGTCTTTTAATTAAATAACGTTATATAACTTAGGATTAGCCTTATTTAGCTATATTATAATTAAAACCTTTTTAAATTTACTATAATAAATAGCTTTATATAAATATATGTTATTTTTTAGGTTTTATTTATTAGCTTTTTTTTTGGCGTATTAAAGTTATTTAGCGCTAATATATTTTTTATTTTATTATTAATGCTTATATTATTTTTAATATAATAGCTAACGATTATTTTAGCGTTTTTATTTATTAAAATAGTTTAATTCGATATTAAAAAGCAAGTTTTAAACCTAGAATTTTTTATGCTAACCTATAAATTTTTAATCGAATTTTTTTTAATAAAGCTTTTATTATCGATTTAATATTAAAATTTATTTAAAATTAATTAATATAGTTTAAAATATTATTAATTTATTATATTAAAAATAATATTATTATTATTAAAATAATAAATTATAGTTGGTAAAAAAAAAATATTTTAACTTTTAGCGAAATATTTTAAATATTTATTACGTTATTATAATAGTTTTATTATTTAAAACTTTCGGAAATAATATTTAAGTTTTTTAAAATATATATTATTATTAAATTAATTAATAAGCTATAAGAAATTTATTTATTTTTATAATTTTAAAAAACGATTTATTTTTTAAACTTTTTAAGTTTATATTTATTTTTAAGCTTTATTTTTTATTTTATTATTTTAATTAATTAATAAAAAGTAAATATTTTTTAATATACAGCAAACATTATTTAATAATAAATAGCTATTATTAAATATTAAACAAATATTAATAAAACTTAATTAAATATTTTTTAAGCATAAGTTAATATTATTTATTTTTAAGCAAGCACTTTTTTTTAATTTTATTCCTGCTTTTTTATATATTTTTATAATAATTACTACTTAAAAATAAAAAACTAGTGCTAATAAACTTAAAATATATTATTTTTTTATAAAATTAATTATTAATAAAAATAATTATATTAATTTTTATATTAGTTTAATTTATTATACTCGACTTTTTATTTTTATTATTATTTTTATTATAGTTTATTTTATTATTTTTTTTATTTAGCTTATTATTTTTACTGCTAAACTTTTATTAGCAAATTTTATATTTTTTAATTTAATAAGTTTTATATTTTTTAACCGTATTAATTTATTAGCCGCTATTATTAAAATATAACCTCGATTATTAAATTATTTTAGCTTATTATTTATAATATTATTTTTGCGAATAAATTTTATTAAGCAGTAATTTTTTAATTTCTGCTAAAAATAATATAAAGCTACCGTTAATTTAATTTTATTTTTTTTAATTAAATTATTTTTAAATAATATAATAGATTTTATAAGTAATAAAAAAAGTTTTTAACTTATAGCTAAGTTAAATTTAATATAAATTTTAAAAAATAATATTTATTAAGCTTTAAATTTAATATAAGTTTTAAAAAACAATATTTTTTAAGCTTTATTTTATTAAAGCACTTTAGCAAGTTATATTTTAAATTTTATCGGTTAATTATATTAGCTATTTTAGCAACCGCTATAATAGTTTTTATTTTTTCGACGGTAAAAAAAAAAAAGCCTTTTTATTTATTTATTATTAAATTAATTATATAATATAACAATTATATATAAAATAATAAATAATATATTATTAAAGTGTTATAATTATTTAAAAAATATTATTAATTTTAAAATATTTAATTGTGCTTATATATTATTAAATAAGTTAAATAAAATCGACTAAAAATAAAAGTAAATCTAAAGCTAATAATATATTTTTACTGCTATAAAAATAATTAAAAAGTTTAAAAATTTAACCTAGCGATTTATTATTAAACTTATAATATATTTTTTAAAATAAAATTTATAGCACGATTTAATTTTAGCTTAAACTTAATTATTATTTACTTATTTATTTTTATAACTTATATTATAAATATAACAACGTTTAAATTTTATGGCCTTAATTATAAATAATAATTTTTTTAGCTTTTTTTAAGCTTAATTAATAATAATAAATAATAAAGCTTCGGCCGAGCACTTTTAATTATTTAATAAGTTTAAAAATCCTTTAGTTTTTTATAATCTTTTAGTTTATTATAATCTTTTAGTTTTTTATAAATTTTTATTTTTTTATTATAATTTTTTTATTTAAATAATATAAAAAATAATATAACCGCTATTAAACCGTTTTATTTTTTAATTATATATATTTTAAAATATACGAGTTAATATAAATTTAACAAGTTATTTTAATATTAATTAATAAAAATTATAACTTTTATAATATAACGTTTATTTTAATAATTAATAATATTATAATCTTATAAATTAAAACTAAACTTATAATTTTAATAATAAAATTTTACTAAAACTTAAACTTTTTAAATATTATAATATAACTTTAATTATTTAATATATCGGCAAGCTAAATTTATTAGCTATAAACTTTAATAATATTATAGTTTTTTAAAAGTTTAAAATAAATATATTATTTAACTTTTAATCTTTAAACGTTATTTAGTTTAAAAATTTTAACGATAATATAAAGCTTAAAATTATTATTAACTTAGTTAAAACTAAAAAATTATTGCTTTAATAATTTTAAAAAAATAAACTCGAAATAATAAAACTCGCGGATTAAAAAAAATATAATTTTATTAATAAATTCTCGAGATTAATTAAAAAATATATTAACTTTAAAGTTTATTATTATCGCGAAATAAATAATATTAATAAAAATTATATCGCTTATTAAGTATATAATAACTTCGATAAAAATTTTAAACTTTTAATTAAATTAAAATAATTATATAATATAATTTAAAATTTCCGAGAATAAATAAATATTAATAAGTTTTTAACTTATAAATAATAATATTAAATAAATAAAGCTTATAAAAATTAAGAAAAATATATTATTAAATTTAAAGCCCTCGTTAAAAAAAACAATAATTATTATAATAATTATAATAATAATAGTTTTAATTATAATAAAAACTATTTTAAAAACAGTTTATTTTTATTTATAAACATTATATATATACCTGTTGATTTTTTTAAGTTTATATATAACTTTTTTAAACTATTAAAACTAATTAATAATAAAAATATATTATTTAATATAAAAAACAGCGCTAAACTAAATAATAAAAAAATTATATAAAATTTATTTATTAATTTTTATTATAATAAAAATTATCGGCAAAATAATTAATATAATAATTAAAATAATTAAAATCGGCAAAATTTAAATTAATTAAATAATAAAATAATTTAAATATTATATTTAATAAGCTATATTATTTATTAAAACGCTAATAATAAGGATTTTTACGCTTTAAATTATATATTAAAAAAAATAAACTATTTTTAACTTAATTATAACTTAGATTTTTTAAATAAAAAGTTTAACTAGTACTTTAAAAAAAATAAATTAAAAAAAAAATAAAGCGAACGTTTAAAAAAGTTAAATTGCTAATAAAATTATTAATTTTTTTTAAACCAGCTAATAATAATAAAATATTAGTTAACTTTAATATTAATATTATTATTTTAACCTTATTAAATAATATATTTAACCTTTATTTAATATTATTATTATTTTTATTAAATAATATAACTTTAATTTCGACTTAAAAAAAAAAAAAGTTAGCAATAAAAAAAATGTTTAAATTAAAAATATTAAAAAATATAATAGATTATATATATAATCTTAAGCGATTATTTATTTTAAACGAAATATTAAAAGATTTTAAAGTTTATAAAAATACCATAGATATTAAATTATTTAGCTATATTTAAAAAAAAAAAAAAATTATATATTTTTATATTTTTAATAATTAAACTTATAAGTAAAAGAGTTATATTTATTTTAAAGCTATTATATAAGGCTTTACTTAAGCTATTGAAATATATATTAATACCGGTTTTTTATTTAATTTAATATTTATTGGTTATTTAAGAAAATATTATCTTGATTAACTAATAATTAATATTAAATTTTTTAAGCTTACTAATATTAATAAAGGCTTTTAAATTAATAAATACGCAAATATTAATATTATTTTATTAAACTCGGACAAAAAATTATAAACTATAAAATAATATTTTTTTATTATTAATAAGTTTAGCTATAAAATATTATTTAATATTATTTTTTTTTATAAAAATCATTTTTATATTTACTAAAGAAATAAAATATAAAATAATAAACTATATATTAAAAATATTAATAAATAAATTAAATTATTTAATAAATTATAAAATAAACTAAAGCTACACTAAAAATCTATATTAATATAATTTAAAATCGATGTTAATATAAAGCCCGGCATAAAAATAATTATATTAATTTAATATTATAATTTATTTATTATTACGTATAATTATTTTATTATTAATAAAGTTTTTATTAACTTTTATTTTAATAGCTTTAGATTTATAATAAATAATATTATTAATAGTTAAAATAAATATTATTATTTTATTAATTTTAAAGAACTTTTTATATTTATTTATAAAGGTGATATTTTTAGCTATATTAAAACTATTAAAATATA